ATCTATTTGTTATTCGGTACAAAATAATTCATTTTCATTTTCTTTTTCAATCTTAAATCACGTAAAAGACAGTGCCACAAAACTAAATTGCATTTAAAGAGTCTTCTCAATTTATGAAGCCATGGTTCGATACAGCTCAATAATGAGAGTCGTCTAAAAGAATGGTGGTTATACTTTAGTTGCCAAAACGTTTCTCTTTTGTTGAACGTTAGGTTAGTGCAAAGGGGATGGTTGTATAGGCAGCAGGGAAATAATTACCCGCATGCATGCTGCTGTCCCGGCTCCTCTGTACGTCGGCGAATATCGCCCCCGTTGGCGCTGGCGTGCGCGGCCGTGCATTGCGCCCGCCGCGGGGCAATTGAAAATGGTAATTGCTTAATTTCCATGGCGTGGTGTGGCGTAGCGCGGCAGCAGCAGCCCCACTGCCCCCGCGCACGGCCGTCGTTAAAGACAGAGGGGAGATAATTTCGCAATCAACATTCGCCAAACCGGAATCTGGCCCTCTGTCCTGTGATGTGGGTCTAGGAGGCCCGCGGCTACCGCGCCGGCGCGCGCGGGGTCGTCCCGACAAGCGGACGGATGGGGGTCGAGCGATGGGGGATATTGGCGATGAGAAAACGCGATTATTTGCCGAATACTTTGCTTTCTTCTCTCTCTCCCCCAACTCGTCTCCTTCTTTTCGACTATCCTTTTGGCGGGTAAAAGATAAATACTGGTCCGAAAGGGAGTCTCGCAGCTCCGGGCGCCGAGAAGCTGTTTGTTTTCGCGCAGAAGTTGGTGCGCCGAGGCGTAAGATCTGTTCGATAGCAGAACGGCGCTATAGCATTGACGGCCGGTCGCGACCTAGAACTTGGCTCTTTTCTAGATTCACACACACTCGGTCAAAATGCCAAAAATATAGCTGCTCAACTGATCCCTCACTTTTCTTCGTTTTTATCTTTTCTTTTTTGGGTCCCTCCCTCATATCTTTTTGCAGATAATTTTTGATAAACATGAAAAGGCAGAGGGGGATACAAAATCACAAGAAAGTGTGTGTGTGCGGTTTTGATCGTATAGTACTACAACATTTTATGCAAACGGGCTCAGCGGTGCGCACGATTTCCTCGATGTCGATTAGAAATGCAAATTTTCCCACGAACGAGCATCTCGGCCTTGTCACTCAGCCCCGCACACCACCACTACCACCACAACCCGTGCTCCATCGATTTGACGTATCTCGGACGTACGCACGGCGGCGGTGCAGGTGCGTGCTCGCGCGCGCTGCGGGTATCGTGCGCGGCCGGGCCGTGCATGAGCTCGGGCACGCGCTGCATGCCCTCTGATTGACGGCCCAGCCTAGCAGATCGCTGGACGCGCGTCCCCGACACCTTGGGCTAGGTCGTGCGCGCGGATGAGAGGAGGAGATCTATCCGTTTGCAGATTTATAGCGCACGCACTCAGACACACACACACACACACACACACACGAGAGACACTTACACTGCGAAATGAATTGCCGTCGGGGAGAACCAAAGTCTCGGGAAAGTGAGCGAGAAAGATCTAGTTTACGCGGGCGCACGCGCGCGCGCGCGCGTGTGTGTGTGTGTTAAGGTTGGCAGACGATAGAATATCTCGTAGTTCTCGCCCTTACGCACCGGCAACACCTTACACCACACACGCCACTTTCTATGGCCATTTCCATAAAATCGAGTCACACACACACATACATATTTCTCGTTCGCCCTCCCAATCTGTTTCCCCTTCCCTCCCGCACCCGCCCTCTCTTTCTCTCTCTGTCTCTCTCTTTCCGGGCTGGTCATCGTGCGCTGGCCGAGCCACCGCAGCCGGTAGTACCACTATATAGGCTGTCGCAGCAAGTCCTTCGCGCGGACGTGTGAAGAAAGTGCCATTATTCGGCTCCGAATGAGGTGCCGCCCGCCACGGATCCCACTTTTGGCTTTTGCCGTTCCACCCCCCCCCCTTTCCCCCTCTCTCTCTCCTTCCTTATGCGTGCAGGTCTCTAATAGCCGAGGGACGGCTGGAGCAGCAACACCTTATAGCCGTCTCCCGCGTTGGTGGGTGGGAGAGGGGACGGTGAAAGAAAGGTAAGGGGTGCCCACTTCGCTACTTGCTGGGGTTCTATAGTTAATCGGTTGTCTGTTTAAGATATTCTTCGAACTAATCTGCTTAGCTCATACCAAAGTGTTGTGTTTTTTTGTGAGGAATAAACTCGCAACGGTGCACTATTGCACCTTTGTTTTACCACTTAGCTACCAACATGCATAATCGTTCGCAAGGTTATAACAGTGTGTGCACTGTATACAAGCTCTGTAAAATAGATCGACAAACACATGTATTTGATGCGTTAAAACATACATAGGTGGGATTTGTGCGGCCAAAAAAAAATCGCACTAGCTCTAATTTATTTTACGTGTATATTTCAATTTTTGCCGTGTCATGATGTTATGAGAAACGAACACTACAGGCAATTCAATTTCTAATCAGTGGAGTGAGTCCCTTGACCTCCCTCCGCCGACTCCCCGTCGGTGTTTTTTTTTTGCCCGCAGAGTATAAGCACCGCCCGTCGTCCGTCCCGTCCGGCCGGCCGGTGAGGTCGTCACTCCTTCAGTGAGGCGTGTCGCCTTGTCACTGCGCAGTGCTGCGGGTACCCGTCGCTGTGGCCAGGGGCCTAATTATCGGAAGCCATACTCCGCGTCCGCGTCCCCCGGAAAAATGAGGACCCCGTCGTCGTTCTTTTATTCCCCGCGCCCGCAATGAATGTTGACGAATGAAAACGCTCGAATAAATATATATTTCCACAATAACAGTTTTGCAACTGGAAATTCTGTGGTGAAAAGAAACTTCCGATTTACTGTGAACTTATACAGCTTTAATGTTATCTAGGATTTTCATTGCGGGAACCACCACATACTCTTTGCTGTCTACTATACTTTGGGTGCAGCTCAAGGAGAAGAACACGAGAAATATAAAGAATGAAAGCTGGACACTTTTTGTGTGTTTCCCCACAAGGTGTCCGTGACATCGGGCGGCCCGCTCGCTCCATTGTTCGGGCGATTGCAGCAGTAACTGATGGGGAGCTGGATTTGCGCCTCCAAAGCGGGCCCCCATTGTTGTCCATCTCGATATAGACTGTTCGGTCGGTCGGACGATGGCCGATCGGCCGCCTAGCTGCGGAGTACGGTGGCGTGGCGTGCATGGCTTTCCGTAATGTCGTGGATTTCAGTCGCTTGTCAGTTGCTGTTAAAATGACATCAGTTTGTGAGTTTTTGAGTTCTTGTTTTTGATGAGAGGCTGACTTCTTTCCGTGCGGTACAAGTCTGAGTTTTTGAGGGAAAGAGTAAAACTTTGAGGACCTCCTATAATTTGAGGAAAACTCCTCAGATTTTTAGGTTGTCTGAGCAAATCTTAAGGAAAATACTCACATCTTTTAGGAATTTCCCCAAAATGTGAGGACTTTTTCTCTAACTATGGTGTTTCGTCAAAATTTCAATTTTTGCCTTTATATGTATGTATCCAATAAAAAAACTGAAAGTCAATGTA